GTAAATATTCTCTTACTTTATTTATCATCATCTACACGTTTTCTTATTATTCTTCTTCTGTTTCTTTCTATCGCCTCTTCTTCCTCTTCATCTTCTTCTTCTTCTTATTCTTTTTCTTCTTCTTGACTTCTCTCGTTAGCATTCCTTCTCCCTCTCCTCCTCCTTCTCCACTTTCTTCTTCTTCTTCTTCTTCTTCTTCTTCTTCTTCTCCTCTTATTCTCGGCAAGGCGAAAGACGCGTCTCGAAGCAATCCGCGAACCGTAACCGCGCCACGTCGGTGGTGCCGAGGGAAACGTGATTTGTCGTGGCAACCTCGTGAAATATGTCGACTCGCCGATGTGTCCCGGACTCTCTTAACGTTTGCTGCTCGTACTATCCTTATCTCGTACGACTACGACTACGACGACAACGACGACGACGACGACGACGACGACGAAACGAAAGAATTTCTTTATGGATTGCAGTAGCACCGACGAGAACGTAGAGAAATATTTATATATATATATATATACATATATATATACACATTTATATATATATATACATTTTACATATATTATACATACATATATATATATATATATATATATATATATATATAATATAAATATGTATAATATATCTATATATTTGTACATATATGTATAGTGTATATATATATAAGATATAGAATATATATATATATATATATATATATATATATGATATTTGTATATGTATCATGGGCTGTACGCGCCCCAACAACATTTTTCAGCTTTCGCTCGGGGGAAGCAGCGCTTGGTCGGCGATACACACGCGCGGCGGCTACCGGTATTAGCGTCGATCTAAACACTCCGCGGCTAAGGTAATCGATCTTTACGACCGCTACGTTAAAACCTGTATTTCTAGACCGGCTATTAAGTTTCTTGTCACCACTCGAACGTGCCTAGCGAGTAGATACATACGTGCCTCTTTGCCTTCGAAGTTGGAAGGCTCTCTTAAAATTCTAAGGGTTCTTTGCCATTCCAACATCGATATCATTTCCTACATTGATATCTTTGCACTTTCCTTATTTCCTTTAAGATTCCTTCGATCGGATCGAATAATAAACGAATACTTTTCGTAGAAATCGATTTCTCTTATAGTCTTTCGAGATTCTTGCCTTTTTCTTTCCACTTTATTTCTTTATTTATTTTTTTTTCCTGTTTTTCTTTTTCTCTTTTTGTTTTTGTTTTTGTCGAGAAGTTCCTCCTTTTGATTCCATCATTTTTTCTTTTTTTTTTTTTTTTTTTTTTTTTTTTTTTTTTTTTTTTTTTTTTTTTGTAACACTTTATTCCAATATACCGAGAGATCATTCAAGAAGACTATAAATGTATTTTATTTTCTTTCGAAGTTCGATTAAAAATGCCTGCTATTTATTAGGGTATAGTATATTTTCTTAAATATTTTTTTAAATATTTTTTCTTTTTTTTTTGTAAATGTGTATTAAAAAATAAAAAAAAATAATCGGTGATATAAGTACGTCGATATTATTTATAACGATTAATCGATAATACTTGGAAAATATTTTATAATTAAAATATCTTTAAGTATTAAATAAATAACTTGTCAGTATTTTAAATGGACGGTCGGTATTTTTAATAAATAAGGAAAAAAAAAAAAAAGAAAAAGAAAAAGAAAGAAGGAGAAAAAATACAACCAAGATAATTATTCGTACTATTTATTTTTATATTACTTATCTGTCGATACTTTATCGCATTTAAGATATTAATCGAGATATCATTTATTTAACGATATATTTCAACATTGATTAACAAATAAAAATACTGATACCTATAATAAATAGTAGAGAATAGAAAATATTTATTGTTATTTCTGTGTCTTTATGAAAATATTTCCTTGTAAGAGAAACCTATAACTATTATTGTTGTCATCTTATTTAGAGTCAGATGTGTGAAATGAAGGTATATATATATATATATATATATATAATAAATATATATATTTAGAAATGCTTTAAGTGAAATTCAGCGAACGTGTCAATGACGTTTATTTTACTTTGCGAAAGAAAACTATGTGGAATGTAGTTTCTCGTAATTTTCGATGCTTTCGCGAATTGAACTTCGAATTTCTCTCTCTCTCTCTCTCTCTTCTTCTTCTTTTTCTTTTACTTTTTTCTTTCTCCCTTTTTTTCTTTCTTTCTTTCTCTCTGTTACTTTCTGTTACTCTTGCTCTTTCTTCGTGAATATTACCAACACATTATTTACGATCGCTAGTTAACCAGCATTCCTCTTTGTACATGGGGCTCCATCGCAATTGATACGACACCATGAAAATAATAATGTGCTCAATATGCCGGGGCTACTTCGCTTTTGGTGCCTTTTATGAATGTTTCGCTTCGCTAAGCTTCGTTGATGTTTCTGATCGAGCATGTTTCCTAGTCCTTTACGTACTATACGCATATCTATAAATCGTAGTACATACATATATATATATATCCTATGTAGATATATATGTATATTAATATTTACACATGATTTGTATTAGATTATGCTTGCACACTGTTATAATACGCTCACATAAAATATATATATATATATATATATATATATATATATATATATATATGTATATATATAATATAAATAATAAACAACAGAGAAATAATACGAATAAAAGAAATATAAAATAAGAAGTGAAAGTATAATAACGATCACTATGAAAATTCGATCTCCGTCGTAAATCCGTACGATCGTGAATCTTATCGTGGATCGTAATCAAGATTTTTTTTCCTTTTTTTATTTTCTTTTTTTTTTTATTTATTTATTTATTATTTTTTTTTTAATTCCATCCTCCTCGTAAGGATCCTTTTTCTGTTCCGATCCTATGCAATTATATATATGCATATATATATATATATATATATATATATATATATATCTTAAATCCTATGGATTAAACATTTAAATTCAATCGTAAGACATTTATAAATTCTTTTTATAGCTCGCCTATTGGTTTACAATTAAATTATCTTGGATATCGAGCACTTATATAAGTTCTCAATCATTTGAAATTTGACTTTGAATACGATTGAATGTCGTTAGGAAAAGAAGTATAACTAAGATCGATGAAAGATCGACCGAACGATCTATTATATAGATATAAAGATTTTAAACAGGACTATTTAAAGGATTTCTACTTTGCTTTTTTTCTTTTTTTTTTTTTTAACGTTTGAATGTATACACTGGATGAATATGATGGAAGAATAATGAAAAAGAAAGAAAGAAAGAAATAAATAACAAAAAAAAAAAAAAGTCAAATAAGTTAAGATATTATAAATTTGCTGCTAAAGAAAAAAAAAGGAGAAAGAACAAATAATAATACAATATAATTTTTATCATTGTTTTTACTTTATGATATTTACTTTTGTATCTGGATTAATAATATATCCTTTCTTTTTCTTTCTTTTTCTTCATACAAATCTTTTTTATACAAATTTTACGACACAAAATCATGCACTTAACACTATTAAAATCGTCTTTGCAATATGTTTTATATTTCGATACGCGATATAAGATGCATATACGTGCAATAATTCGACAAATTTTTAAAATGTAAATAGATATGATCTTTCCATTATTTGTTATTTTTTTTTCTATTTTTTCTTTTATTTTTTTTTCACTTTAATACTTATTTCATACCTATTATAATATTACTTTCCTATAAAATTTAATTTTTACAATATAAGAATTTTTATATAAATCAATCTTTACGATATAATAATTTTTATATTATTAAAATTTTACGTTTAAATCGTCTTTGCAATTGTTTTTCTTTTTTTGTTGTTGTTCGTTCTTTTTTTTTTTTTTTTTTTTTGTTCTTTTTTTCGCGAAACAACGTAACGCGTAATAATTTGATAAATTTTTTCACTTCAGCATTTACTTCATACGTGGAATAATATTTTTTTGGTTTTTTTGCTTCTTTTTTTTTTTGTCACATGAAAATTTTGCAATGGAAAAACAAAGCGAATCGAATAGTTAAATAGTCTTATTTTTAACGAATTTTGTTTTTTTTTTTTTTATGTTTTAATAAAAAAAAAACGTCAGCAAGCAACGTGTCCGATGCAAAACTGAGCGAATCGTGTTGCCGTCGGATCGCGAACGTCGCTGATATTTCCTACGATGATTTTCTCTCTCTATCTTTCTCCCTCTCTCTCTCTTTCTCTCTTTGAATGCCTCCTTTTATCATTCGATCAATAATAACAAATTGTATTCGAACAAATTTTTTTTTCTACGTGCGTCGATTTTCTCGACCTTCAGTAAAAACTTTCAATGATATTATGAATGAACGTGACGTGTGTGACGAGTTCGAGAATAAGAAATATCGAGTGACGTTGAGTAAGAGAGAAAGACTATGTGTATAAATGTGTGCGTGCATATATGTGTCTGTGTGTGTTTGTGTAAGAGTGAGAGAGAGAGAGAGAGAGAAAGAGAGAGAGAGTAAGAGAGAGAGCAAAAAGAAGATGTCGAATGGTCGTCGAGCCACGCGTCATAGACGTGTCTCGGGTGCCAAAGGTTAAAGGACGCTACTGCTTAATTCCACGTGCGTCTCGTCTCTGATTGTCATGGTGCATGATTAGAAGTACAAGTAAATGGCTCTATCCGTGAGAATATCTCGTCGAATTTCTTTTCTTTGATAGGACGGAAAAACGAATTTGTTTGTACGAATTACGTTATTTGTTTTATTTACTTATTTATTCTTTTCTTTTTTTTTGTTTTTTTTTTTTTTTTATTTTATCTATATTCTCTTATTTATTTAGAATTTTCTTTTTGTTTCTTTTATAATACGATATTATTTTTTTGCTCCTTTTTTAGAAAACTTATGTAAGAAAATAGAAAAAAAAGGTGTATATATATATATATATATATATATATATATATATATATATATATATTGACTCTAGAAACGAGTTAGGTGAATTTCATATTGATACAAAGTATACATTATATATTTATACATGT